CCCAACTGGACACAGACCCACAAAATCCACACAGACCATAATCCAATCCCTAATTAGAATATTACAGAAGAATTTATATTTAAATTTTTATAACAGGGGTGGCTTAGTGGCTATCATGTTCGCCTCACACGTCCAGTTTTTGAGTATCGCCGGGGCAATGTGTGTACAGAGTTTGCATGTTCTCCCCGTGTTGTGGGGGTTTCCTCCGGGTACTCCGCTTTCCTCCCCCAGTCCAAAGACATGCATGGCAGGCTGATTGACGTGTCTAAAGTGTCCGTGGTGTATGAATGTGAGTGTGCATGTGATTATGCCCTGTGATGGACTAGCACCCTGTCCAGGGTATTCCCGATGCTTTCTGGGATAGGCTCCAGGTTCCCCATGACCCTGAAAAGGAGTAAGCGGTAGAAGATGGATGGATAGATGTTTATAACAGTATGTTGTTTTCATGATTAAACAATAAAGAGAGTATATTCCAACACAGTGTTCTGTAAGTCTTTCTGTTGAAAGTGGAATATTTCACTATGAAATAAATATTTGAAAAATATTTTTGGTTCTTGTTAAAGTCTCTGTAAAGTGCCTTGAAACATGCAGCGTTTGATGTGTTGATATAGAAGTGTTGCAATTTCCACTGAAACATCAAGATGGGGCAGGACATATTGAGTAGCTCCTCCCCCTTTTTTAAATAGCCAATAGCATTTAGCTTACCAAACAGTCCAGGCTATGCAGGTACTTGACAGTTAGTACCATGGTACCATAATGTTGGGGGCAGGACACTTCAGATTCTAGAGAGTATTTGATTCCATCTATCCATTTTCTATACCGCTTATCCTACAGGGTCATGGGGACCTGGAGCCTATCCCAGGGAGCATTGAACAAGGCGGGGTAGACCCTGGACGAGGTGCCAATCCATCAGGGCACAATCGCATACATATTTACACACCCATCCTTACACTACGGACACTTTAGACACGCCAATCAGCCTACCATGCATATCTTTGGACTGCGGGAGGAAACCGGAGTACCCGGAGGAAACCCCCACAGCACGGGGAAAACATGCAGACTCCGCACACACAGGGAAGCAGCGGGAATCAAACACTCAACCCTGGAGGTATGAAGCGAACGTGCACGTACTAACCACTAATCCTCCGTGTGATGGAGAGCATTTGATTGGAAGTGCAGAATGATGTCATCAAAATTGTTGATCCGTATCGGTGGTACAGAGAGGGACTGTTCATTTTTAATATGTTTCTCTTCTAAATGTAAATTTTGTCATTGTTTTGCAGCACACTAGCTTATGGATAACCTTAAGCCTAAACATATTCATACTAAAAGCCATAAAACTTATAAAATATTTAATGGAGACTTCAAGTATACAAATCTTTAATTACATAAAGCTTAATTTGCATAAATAAATGTACAATGTAGAAAAGTTCCAGCACAAAAAGACACAGAGAACTCTTTGTGCCTTAAACATGGAGTACTGCTGTGTTTTCGTTGTGCCAGTGTGAAAACGTAAGTGTTGATCCGTGTGCGTTTTGAATGAACGCTCGTGCAGTGTTTAATCGTGTGGAAGTCGTGAAGAAGGAGACTGTACAACGTCACATCCTGTCTAATGCGTCCACACTGGCAAAAGAAAAAGGAGCAAAGTAGAGCGCCACGTCCACGTCACGCAAAGTGTGAGTGTGCTGTACGTGAGACAGGCGGAGAACTTCGGATTATTTCTGAGTGAAATTTCTCTCTCTCTCTTTCTCTCTCTATATATTTATTTAATTTAAAAAAAGATAATAATAAAAAAAAAGCTCCAGGTGACTGTAAGAGAGGCAGAAGTGCACGTTCCGAGGGAAAACAGCTGCTACTAAAGTAAGTACATCACCTCGCTAACGTTAGCTAGCAATTCAGAAAAGTTTTCATGTTCTGGAAGGCAACATTTCCACCGAGCTGTGAGGTTAACTAGCCAGAATAACTGTACAGGAGGCATAAAATGAGCATTGTTTTGGTTAGTACTGGTAAATATCGACATGTTTATACATGTATATTGATATTTTGCTGGTTGTTGGTGAGCTGGCCGATTGTGGGCTGCAGAATAACAACCTACCTAGTGCTGGATGATGTCCCTAAACATACGCCGTTTATTTATTTCCCTCTCAGTTTCACTTTTTAACCTGTTCCATTCAGCTGCAGTGTGCCTTTATAAAAGGCACACTTAGACTTTACTGTCTAATCAGCATTTGAACTTTTGTTCATGTTACACGCTTTGATTTCTGAGTTGTGTAACTTATCAAGTCAGCCTCGATGTTTCTGTTAAATAAGGGCATCTTAAGTGAGTTATTCCGGGATAAATTATGTTTTCTGAAGTCACTTCTGGCCAGATTTGATGGAACTGAGCTCTGAAGAGAGGCACGTTGCTGTACCTTCATGCCTACGTGTAACTGAAGTCAGTGCATGACTTGTTTTTTTTTCTTCTTCTTTTTTTTCCTTGGGCTTCAGGCTCATGTGTAGCACACACACTGGAAACACTGAAGGCCTGTTTTAAAGGAAGACCTCGACACAGAATGACTTTAAAAACGTGACCTATGATTTATAAAAAAAGATTTATTTCTGAAATGAAATTCTGAGATGCCTATTTATTTATTTGCCTTTACTCTCTTTGTTCATTTAGCTGTCGTTAGTATTAGCTGTCGAGCGCTGCAGCAGCGCTTTAGTCCTTAAATCTGTCCAGATCTCTGACTTCATCACCCGTACACCATCATGCTCTTCATCTCATAGCTCACTATCTAGCCAGGCCTCCGCTTTAGCTCAGGGCAGCTGTCTCCTATACCTATATAGCGTTCAGGCACTTCCTCCAATATTTACAGTCTTCATTACTTCTCCATTGGATTTCTCATTAATATGACACTGAACATCACAAAAACGGTGAGTGAGAAAAGTCGGTCATGCTCTATTATTCTTAGGAGGTCTCACCGTTAAGCCTATTCCTTATAAATGGCATTGTAACTGTGCCAGCAGTGTCCATCTTTGATATCAGCATGTAACATAATCTATACGCCCTCTATATTGTCTTTACAGAAAACAGAGCAGTTGTACAAATGTGTATTCAGTGGTGTTTGGATGTGTAGAGTAAACACAATCCTGACTGGCTGTGAACTGGTCAGCCTTGTTCTGTGTTGATGTAGGCAGCACACCCTGAACTTTATTTAGTGCTTTGGCCCCTTTCACAAGTGTATATTAAAAAAACATGTAAGTTTAAAGACTGTATTGTCATTTTACAGCTGTTAAAAATATCATTTTGTTGGTATCTTAGGTTCTCAAACATTTACAAAATTTGCAGATGACCTAACAGTCATTGGCTTGATCACGAACAATAGTGAGTATGATGACCGCATGGTGCTCCAACAATAATCTCATCCATAACACCAAGAAGACAAACGGGATCGTGGTGGAATTTAGAAAGAACAGGAAAATTTATCTGAGTCCGGTGTTCATAAGATGTGGAGAGTCACCTGTTTTAAATACCTCCACTGTAATTGGAAGGGCACAACTACGTCTTTTTATTTTCTGAGAAGATTACAGGAAGTAAGATTGCCTCAGAAACTTATTAATTTTTATCGATGTGCAGTGAAGAGTTTACTGACATCACATTGCATCACATCTTGGTGTGGTAGTTGTTCAAGAGAGGAACGCTGCAACAAGCTACCAAAATGGCGCAAAATATAATTGGCGCACAGCTACCATCAGTTGAGGACATATTTGTCCAGATGTTGGAGCCGAACCTACAAAATATCTAGAGATCACACACACCCATAACATTATTCCTCGCTTCGGGTGGGAGATATAGGACAATTTACTCTCGTTCCACGAGACTGAAAAATAGCTTGTTTGCTAGAGCTGTACAACTTTTGAACACTTCCTGACTGGTATCCATCTATAAGTTATATTTGTAAACATTCTGATTTACCTTCCACAGAGCCACAATGAGCAAAATAGATGAGCAACAGCATGATGAGCCTGCATACTTAAAGGATGAACCTCCAGCAGGTAATTAGTTTCTTTTGAGGTTTAAAAAAAAAAAAATTACTTTTGCATATGCCAATCAAACCTGGCATATGTAAGGGGTAGTACCACTGTGACTTCACACGATGGTGCTCTTGTGCCATCTAGCCCTCCATCTTACAAGTGACCCCTATATTTAGATATTGTTGAAAAAACAATATAGACCTAATTAGCTAACTTACACTATACTCCCCATTATCGCTTTTGATTACATTTAGTTGAAGAAGCCAAAGGTTGTGATCACACTTAATTTATATTGCATCTTTTCTTCAGTGTACATCGGTAGGAAAATTCTTGGTGAAGGTCTATGAATGTAGAAACCTACAAACCTTCACACATTTTACCAAGTAGCTCCACATGTTAACATGAGAGTATGCTAGAACATGATATTACTCAAATATATCTGGAAAAAAAAGTTTTATTTTTTTAGCCCAATTAAAAATGGCAGCTAAGCCTGTCAACACATAAATCTGAAATGCTTGACAACTGTAGATGTTTTTAACTCTCCAATATTAACTGACATTCTCTGGTAGCCCCACCTCCTTCCCTCAATCTCACATATGTAATTAGACAAGTATATGGTTGAGATCAGTTACCTATATGTATTAGGAGTGGCACTCAAAATTGTTTAATTAAAATGGTCAAAGGCATCACTTTCTGCTTTTCAACTGAAAGAGACTCAAACAGAAGTGTTGACATGGTTTGAGAAGCAGCATATAAACAATGACAAATTCTAGCCATGTGGGTCCATTAGACAAGTGACAAGACATTACACAACCCTCTTAATAGACTATATTACTTTGCTGTTAGTTTGATCATTATTATTGCATTATTTACATCTGTGGTATTTGGTAGGCATCCTTCTCCAGAGTGAGTTACATTTATCTCATTTATACAACTGAGCAGTTGATGGTTAAAAGGCCTTGCTCAAAGGCCCAGCAGTGGCAGTTTGGAAGTGCTGTGATTTGAACTCTTGGCCTTTCGATCTGTAGTCTTACGTCTTAACCATTGAGCTACCACTGCCCATTTATTGATATTTATTATTGCTGATCACGAGTATGTTATATTTTCCATTCTGCAGATACAAATAAAGACCACCCTCCGGTTCAGCCGGGTATGTTTTCCAGAGTGACAGGAGGTCTCTTCAGTGTCACCAAAGGGGCTGTTGGGGCCACTGTTGGTGGGGTGGCCTGGCTTGGAGGGAAGAGCTTGGACCTCACTAAGACCGCCGTCACATCTGTTGCTGCTGTTCCTGGCATGGGAGTAGGATTGGTGAAAGGGGGTGTATCCGCAGTGGCCGGTGGAGTAACTGCAGTTGGCTCAGCAGTTGCTAATAAAGTTCCTATTGGAGGGACCAAGAAGAAGGACAAGTCTGATTGAGTGTCTGAATTGTTGGGGGAGATGTTGTCATCAGTGACTTTGTTTATATGACTCCTCAGTGGATTGATGGTTGGTTTGATATTCTGCAAAATGATTTGTTGGAATCAGATCTATACGCTAGATCTGTTCTATGATTGAGCGACTTCAGTGTACTAGGAGCTTCTATCTGCTTCTCAGAAGGGGATGTTTCTGTGTCCTAAGTTTTGTCCTGTGTCCTATGTTTTGGAACATGACAAGATGTGAATGTTTTGATCCTAGTAATGGCAAAATGTTTTAATTTTTGAAGTATTAGTTGTTGAAACTTTGGAGACTTGGGTGTATAGTGAGGGACCACTGTAACATTGTCATGTTTCGCTAAGCCACATTGCACCGGGTTTGTGTCTTTGACCATAAACTGGGGAACATGCATATCTTTTGTACCAGAGCCTTAGGGGAAATTAATACCATGAGCCATAAGTTGAATTAAGACTGGCATCACTTGGGTATCCCTCAATATACTGCAGGAGAAAATGTGATACTATAGTGGGTTGATGCAAATAGTTCATCTGTCTGATTGGTACAGCCTCTGGGGTCCAGGCTGAGCCTCTCATACAGCTTTGCTCATCAGTTCCTTTTTTCCACCTGCAATACAGAGAAATCCCGAACCTCTTGCCATAAACTAATGTGTTTACTGTGCACAAAAAAACTGCTAAGGAGTTATTCCTGTGAGAATCTGAATACTGGTAGCAAATGTTCCTTAGCAAAACAGTTTGTGAGATTATTCAGTGAAATAGCTGTTTAGGTTCGATTATAATATCTGTTAAATAATGGAACATTTTTCTGCTCTAGCCTTGCAGTGAAGATTGTCTATACAGGTTAGTATGTTCGACTATACATGTTTTATTTATCCTAGAGATTTTTTCCCCCAGTGGCTTTCAACTTTTTTGTCCATTTCATAAATAGAAGTATTTTCCCAGGCCAATACTGCATTACATTTTTATATGTTGATAAAGTATAAATGAGCAAAGACAGTATTTTCTCTAATATGTGTTCAAAATCTTTATTTTCCTACAACCAAAGAATGCAAAATGCTCAGTCAGTATGGGGCTTCTCTGTAATAAGTAGTATGCTTTCTTTCCCTTCCCCCCCCCTTTTTTATTTTTATTTTATTTTATCAATATGTGTATTCATTTTATACACAAATATGTAAGTCTATGCTTGAATATATAATGTGAAATAAATAAAGAAATAGGGTTGAACATTGCATTGGTTTTACCTCATTATAAATGGTGGGTAGTCATGGAAGCAATGCTTGGAGATTAAAAGTCACTCTTAATTTCAAAGTCATTCCAAATCTGAGCACTGTGTGAGATACTGTGCCCTCCACTAATATTGGCACCCTTGGGAAGTATGAGTAAAGATGGCTGTGAAAAATTGACCTTATTGTTTAACCTTTTGATCTTTTGTTAAAAAATTTCACAAAAATACTCTGCTCTCATGGTTATAAAAAAAAAACATACTGTAATGGGCTCTCACTACTAGACATCATAGATCTTTTGCTCTTCAGAAAACCTTGCATAAAGAACGTCATACTAACTAGGGACCGTAAGCTTGAGCTGATAAAATTTCTTCTTGCCAAAGGAAAGGAACTACATGCCTAGCTTCTTGGTTTACTTAAAGGCACATAATTGAAATAGCCTTTCAATAATGATTCCTATCTATAGCTCTGTACACCTCAAAGCTCCTGATTAAATGACTAGATTGTCAAGAGAGTAGGCAGAGCCAGGAAAAAAAATAAAAGTCCTGCTGCCAAAAAAATAATACCGGTAGTTCTGACTTTTAACTGAAGTGCTCTAATAATTCACTCATATACAGTATCTGCATATAAAAACATTGTTATTTAATCAATTGTAATATCTCTATGGATGTTTAATAGTTGCAGTATTTATGTAATTAAAAAATATATTCCTGTTAAATTTGTATTGATTTAAGGTTTGACTTAAGTCACTTACCATTGTGGAAAAGCCTTTTGTCATGTTTGAAATGTAAGTAGGGCAAAAGTTCATACATCTTCGAATTAGAGAAAGAAATAAGACTGAAGAATCTAAAATGTGTGCTGTTCTTGATGTGCACCGATCTGAAAAGTCCTTGATATGCAGTGGCAATGCAAAAGGGCTAGCTGTTTAACCAGGATGAAAATAAGCGTTCTACTTCCTTCTGTTTAGTGGGATGTTCTTGTATGCTCATTTACTTGTTGAGTACCAACAAGTAAGTCCCCACCTGGCTAGTCTATAAAAGGTTAGTGTTACATCACACTCATCCTCTTTCTTATTCCAATGTCCAGATGTAAATGTGCACTTATATAACGCTTTTATCCAAAGCGCTTTACACTGTGTCTCATTCACCCATTCACACACACACACACCAATGGTAGCAGAGCTGCCATGCAAGGTGCTAGCTTGCCATCGGGAGCAACTTGGGGTTCAGTGTCTTGCCCAAGGACACTTCGGAGTTGTGGAGTCACCCAGGCCGGGAATCGAACCGCCAACCCTACGATTAGTGGACAACCCACTCTACCACCTGCACTCAAATCCTTGTTTCTTGCTAATTTTGCTTTTGTTTAACCTGCACCATCAAAGGCGTGTGCTCTGCTGCACACCTTGGGTGATGCTAATTCTAGTGATAGACTTACAGCTATTCTCACCATGGTTGACCTAGAACACATGTATCACCATCTAGCTCTAAATGACACATCTTTCCTGAATATAACTGAGCAAATCTCCTTAGCCACACTTGTCAGTCATTTCATTGCTATCCTAAGTTCTAATAATAACCATTTAGCTATCGTAAATCTTAGTCTTACTGCTTTTGGGAATAGATAGTGGTGGAAAGAGTACAAAACACTTGACTTGAGTAAACATGCTGTAGTAATAAGGCACTCGAGTTAAAGTAGTGATAAAGAAAACTACTCAAGTAAGAGGTATTCTGCATTACTGACCAAGTGGGACCTGGGAAGTGTCTGACCTCCAAGTAGCAAAGACCACTCCAACTCAAAATTCTTGTTCAGAAAGTTGGATTTATTTTAATTTTTGAATTTTTTTGTGAGCTTCCAATTAGTCCATGACATTACTTCGACAAGGTGACACTTCTAAATATTGTCACCATAGTAATAATTCACTGGAGTAAAAGTAGTGATAAAGAAAATTGTTGAAAAACTACTTGAGTAATTACTTTACAAATGATGTGTACAGATGACATCTAGTCGGAAAATGTTCAATTGCAATTTGAGGAATGCATTTTTGAATAATTATGTTAACTAACCAAGTAAGTTATGCTGAAATGAACACCACCTAGATTGTCAACAATATAAAAAGAAAGGTAAGGATACCACAGGCTGGACTGTGAAATGCCAGTACCTTCACAAGTGTTTTCAAAGGAGTTTAAAAATGGGTTAAAATTGTACTGCAGCCAGCCACTAGATGGCCTCAAAGATATTTTGGCTTAACTTTTGATCCCTGTTACAAAATTGCAATTTAACAGGCTTGCTAATTAAGCTGCATTTTTTGTAAGAGACCCCTAACATTAGAACTTGTGCAGCTTAAATCCAACCAACATCTGCTGTGATCCTTAGATAGATAGATAGATAGATAGATACTTTATTGATCCCCAAGGGGAAATTCAAGTGGATTAAAGTGGAATCCTCCTTATTCAGGTGGATTAAAGCTTCTTTGCAGTTTTTGCAAAAAGGGCTTTGGAAACTCACTCATTAATACAGTATTGTGAATGTAGCCAAGGTTAACTTGGTTGAAAACTTCACTAAACTGCACTCTCATCAGACTCTAGACCAGGGGTGTCAAACTCATTTTAGTTCAGGGGCCACATACAGCCTAATTAGATGTCAAGTGGGCCAGGCCAGTAAAATCATAGCATAATTACCTATAAATAACAATAAGTCCATGTTTTTCCCCTTTGTTTCATGCAAAGAAGTACAAGTACATTAGGAAAATCTTCATATTTAATGAAATATCCTTTTACAAAACATATCATGAACAACCTCAGATTTCTTAAGACAAACATGTGCAATTTGCTTCTGATTATCATTCACATGTGTGAATTACAACTGGTCACAGTATTTGTACAAAGGCAAAAAACTAAGTCACGGGTATTTGGAACTGAAAAATATAGTATTGCACTTTAAAATTTATGGCATTGCATGAACAATAGGATTCCACCAAACCAAACTCTTTTGTACTGAAGCTGTTGACTAACATTAAATAGCATATTTTTTTTACTATTACAGTGGGGGAAGTATTGGACGCGTCAACTTTTATTTGAGTAAATATATTTCCAATGAGGCTATTCACGTGAAATTTTCACCAGACATTAAGAAAACTGCTTTTTCTTAGCATGTTCAATACTTTTTTCTGTATCATTTCACTTTATTGCACATAACTTTATTTATGGACTTTAATGTTGTGAATTCTTTCTATTTCCAGATTTCTTGAGTTAATACTAATGTCTAGTGAAAATTTCATTTACTGAAAAAATGTTGACGTGTCCAATACTTATTTCCCCCACTATACTACAGCAATGATACATTTTCACAGAACTGTATTCTTTAAGTAGAATCATTGTCTGAAGCATCATTTTAAAGGAGTTCGTCAT